AGAATAGGCAAAATAGGGAAAATAAATTGTGCCCCAGCCCATGGTATAGCCACAGCTGGGACATCTGCAGCTGGCTGGTGCCTTTCCCCATGCTCCAAAATACGTCTTCACTGCAAATCACTAAACCAGACAGATTGGAAAATATTGCTTAGATTAGCAAAATGAGCCCCCGGGTTGCGGAGCTTCCCTTTGTGATTCCCTCCTGATGTTTGGGGGGATGCTTTGCCCCTAAATTAGCCTTGACGAAGTCAGAAAAAAAGTAATTATTTTTTAAATGGAAAAAATAAAATTCAAAACTCCCCCACCAACAAAAGGAGGAAAGAACTCAACTGTTATTCAGATCAAAGTAACCCTAAATACGCCCTTCTGCAACAAAGCTTCACATCTCTCCTTGCTGGCTGGGTTTGATTGCCTCTGCACAAAAATAAAAGGAAGTGCAAAGGCTTCGTTTGGATCTCCCAGGCTCCCGTTATATTAGTGCCACTCCGCTGCCTTCAGTGAGTTTATTCTGAATTTACATCCCTCCAAGAGGCCAGAATCAGGCCCCTGATAGCTCTTCTCCCCAGAAGTATAAAATCAGGGGACTGAAATCTGTTCTTCATTGCATGAATGCAGACAAGGAGAAACTTCACAGAGCGAGCGATCTGCTGCCTGGTTGGGTTCACGTGGCTGTGACCGAGATCAGGGATCTGCTGCGAGGTCTTTGTTGTTCACATCTGCTGGATTTTGGATGCTTTTGGATGCTTTCCTACCCAAATTGCTGAGTGCTCAGAGCAGAAAGTGAGGGAAATATTGAATCTGCAACCAAATGTGTCCCCTCCTCCCAAAATCCTCATTGCATGTTGCAATCACAGCTCCTTTCCCTGTTGCCTATTGCACTTTTTTTCTGTGGCGTGCAGTCCAGCCGCTCCCAAACCCTCTCAGCCTGCCCCTGCTGCATATTTAAATTAAATAATCAGGTCCTGAGTGCCTCCGTGCAGCTTCCAGCTTGCCTGGAGGTCTGTTGCCACTCGTAGAGCATTTTTCAGCTGTTCCCCCCCATCCTTATAATAAATCTTTCATAAATCTAAGCCTCTCCCTGACTCCGAGGAGTGCATCAGTCATCTTTTAAAGCCAACTGCCTTTCGTCCTGCCCCCAGAACTACATTAATATCTGAAAGTCCTGGAAAAAAAACCCCATAGCTATTTATCAGCAGCTACGGGATCAGAGGGCCCTGTTAGCACGCTGCCGGGTGAAGGCAGCACCGCTGCCTGTTAGCGAGAGGCATCACACCGTGTCCTGGTCCCTGCCTGCGTCCCGGCGGCGGGAGTTTGGGTGGTCTTAGCCAGGGAGATTTTGTCTAAGTCACTGGCAACTGAATTGAAGAGTAGTTTTCTTCTCCCCCCGCATCTTTATTCATCCTGTCCAGGTGTGTTTTATGAACAAATAGATGTGATTTAAACCACATAATTGATATATCGCTTTGAACATAATGCAGGCTTCAGCAGCAATCAGCCTGATTGTAAGCAGTTGATGCGTGTCTGGACCTCGCGGAGAAAGCATTTGATGGGACTTAGGCTGGAAATGCTCGGGTGTTATTTCACAAATATCTTACATTTGGCTCAAATTAACTGAACTGCACTGTTCCACTGGTGGAAATCTGGAGTAATTCCTTTGACTGTAGATTTCTGCGGAGGTACTTGGCCCCGTACAGAGCAGCCGAGCTGCAGCCCCGGCTGAGCCAGCCCCGGCCGAGCCCTGGTGCTCGCCCTTACTCTAACACGCTGAATAGAGAGACATGATGGAAGATCACTTTTGCCTTTGTTATCTGATTTAGTCCATGAACTGCAAGCTGCAGCAGTTAGCCAAACCCCAAAATATCTTTGGCATTAAAATTGGACAAAAGGAGTATAAAGAAGCATTCTGTGCTGCTGACGCATTACCATTCACTACAAATCCCCATGATAAATACCAGAACTGCTTTGAATAATAGATACTTCTGGGAAACTTCCAGCTCGCAAAATGAACTGGACCGAGTCGCAGCTATTACTCCATGTCCAGAGGCTGGAGTAGCAATCGCTGTTCTCACCACAACTTTGAGCAGACACCTGATTTTTATCCATTTATTTACCTTTGTTAAATCTATGGATAATTAAACTAACTAGGCTGCTCGAAGGGATAACACAACCCCAAGGATGCATGCTCTATTAAATACAGTTTAGAGAGAAGGGAGCAGTTCTGACTCCTTGCCTGGAGTTGGAAAAGGGGTGTGAAAACAGCCAAGATGTGGCCAAAACCTACTGGTGTGCCATGGCGTGGCCTGTGTTTGCGTAGAAGGGGAGGGAGGGACGGACGGCTGAAGGAGAGGGGTAGAAAGATCTAGCTTTTTGTCTTGGTTATTCAGACTTCTCTTGTTATTTTCACAAGGTGGTTTTCATTTTCTGAAGGGTTCAGGTTGTCACCAAGTGCTTTCACTAAAACCGACACTACACTAGCTATTACCCATCGCTAATGAGACCCCTGGCTGAGTGCATATAGGATCAGAAAGCACTTCCTCCATTCCACTCAATTACCCTAACAAATCCCATTTTTACAGTCCAGAGTACCTCCAATTGCTAACAGTTTCACTCCAAATGAATCCCCCCTCCCTGTTTCTAGGGTGAAATAAATAAAAGTGCCTCAGCTCTGGGGTCTGGGCGCTCCTGGGGTGCGAGCGGCAATTCCTGCGCTGTGTTTCGCAGCTCCTTTTCTGAACATCTGCAGAAGAAAGCTTCAAAGAGCCTGTGCAGCCACGTTCCCACGTGTGTGCACATCCAAGCCCAGGTGGTAGCGGGGAAATAAGGGTAATGAAAGAGCGAGGATTCATTTTTATGTGTCTGTAAAAGCAAAGCACCGCGGTGACATTGCACACACCGGTCTGCGGATTTATCTTCTGGTGCTTCGATTTGGAAGGGCTGGGAAAGCCCCGGCACGGTGGGCGAGATGTTTGCCTGGCTTCTGCTGGTTGTCCGTGCACAAGATGCTAGCACTGCAATGCCAATTGGATTAAAGATCCTGACCACCCCTCGGAGAACCATGGATGAGAAGGTGACAAGACCTAATCCAGAGGCTACTGCAGCTGGGATGAGGCTTCCCCTCAACATCCAATTTTTCATGTCTTCAGTTGACCTGTTGGCCAAGGCTTTTACAATCTGCCCTCCTGGCCTTAAATGACCTGGCAGACGGTCTGAAACATAAGTATGCATGGCTGAGGATGCGCTGTGGTTTCAAGTAGGAATTAATTTGCCAGAGTCGGATGGCCCATGTTCACGCAGAAGGTCAGGCTGGCCACAGTGTTCCCTTCTGGCTTTATAATCTCCCATGTAATCTGTTCATGCTGAATGAAAGGCAGATGCTCACCATTGCGTTCCTGGACCAAAACTCAGGTCCCAAACAATTTCTTCAGCTTTCCAGTGGTGCACAGACATAGGGCTTGGC